CGTCAAAAATTGTTGGTTGTGCATTAGCACTGAAGGCGTAATGAGTACGTTTCCTCAAGCACAGAATTAAAGAATCATAAGTCAAAATTTTATCTACCAAATCTTTATTTAATAAAATAGGATAATTTTGCTTAACTTAAGCATAAAATTAAAGTAATAATCTTCACAGACATTAAAATTGAAGTATCGAAAAGGAGATAACTTACATAGAATCTTCCTCAGTCTTAAATATCATCAGGCTTACCTATTTTAGGCAATAAGAAAAAGAAACAGGAATATACTTTGACACCGCACCTGGAAAAGAGAAGTACTACTGGATTAGACCTTTGGCCAGGTACAAGTAGCTAGGGTGAGAATCAAATATACTGCATTGCACACGAACTTTACTTTCTCTCGCTAATATATATCTTGGCGCACGTTCGTTTCGTATGCCTTTCGAGTTTCATTATGCAAAATACCTAAATTTATGCTAACAAAAATTCCGAATTACTGAAGCTGAAGTAAAAGGTTTAGTTTATATTCACTGTAAGTTAATAAAGTAATAATCAGAGTGTATTAAAAATACATTATAGAATTTACGCTGATCCAACTTTTTGTCTGAATGCACAACATGTAATGGAAGAGAAGGCTTGTAGAGATTTGTTTTTGACAAGCCTCTAAAAAGTAGATGTCATACTCCTTTTGTCTCTTCAATGTCAAAAAACTTTCCTTTGAGAGGCAACTTTAGATTTTGCGAAAGAAAAAAAAAAAAAAAAAAAAAAAATCACAAGAAGACAAATTTTAAGAACATGCAGGACGATTGAGTACACATACTTATTTTCGGAATACAAGCGGTTCTCCGATTGGTTATTGAATAATGAAAAGATACATTGTTATGTAATACGAAACATTTGGAATACGTTTTCTGACTGAACAACGTAAGATTAAAAGTCATCTGCTTAATTCACAGCCATTTACAAGTCAACTACTCGGGCAATTGCAGAATCGTTTTGATTTTGAGCTTGTAAGACAAACCTAATATCACTGGATTTAAACACTTCTTTAATCTTCCGAGAACATTCCTTCTTTAGCTCATATTCCAAGAATATTAAGTGAATACAATTATTGCAAAAGAAATTGAATATTCATTTGGACTAGGGCTTGGTAGTTTACTAACGAGTTAACAAAACTTAAATTCTGCTTTTTGTGTCTAAGAATACAACAGTATCTTAAATATTTAGAAATAAAATATTAAATTGGAAATTTAATTCAGCCTCAGCAGTTGCTTAGCATTTGAAGATTGTTAAATACCAATTGTTTGTTGCGAAGTCTAACCCAGGCTGCATAGTTGGTTTTCGTAATTTTCTAGGTTCTCTTTACAAAGGTTCTCTATGAAAGCATCTTAACCAAATAGCTCCCATGTTCTTTCTCTGTTCAAATAACCAACTAACCTAGTTCAAGCGCGATTTCCAAGTGAAATTACTAGCAAAACCCGAATACTCATTAAAAATCATGTAGCTTGCCAATCGGGAGTAACATGAAAGATACGGCGCAAATAACTGAATTGCTGTTACGGTACGCTGTTTCTAAACTTACATGGTCATTCCTTAATTAAATATAATTGATTTATAACTTCTACTAGAGCTGACGGTAAGAATTGAAGTGCAAATAAATAATATCGCGTGCAATTTTGATTAATATAAAATTAGAAATATTTGCCTTCAGACAGAAAGTTTTTTGAAAAATCTGCAATTACTTTATAAGAAGAATTTATTAATAACCCTAATAATTACTTATTATATTACTGATGATTAGAATTCAGTTCGTGACAATTATATTCTAAATTAGAATGTTAAGGATATAATGAAAATACGCTACGCATTAAATACATTTTAGGATAAAAAATGAGTTGATTTTTTATGTTTAAAAACTTCTTAAATTCATTTAACTAACGGCCCACCAGCGGCCGAACGGTAAAGTCGCTGAACACTGGTAGTTCGGTCCGAGGTTCGAATCCCGCAAACGGGCTGGCTGCATGGACGTTTTCGTGGTTTTCCCCATGTGTAACGTGTATACGAGCCAGTTTCCCTTAAAAAGTCCTCCACGAAGGCATTCCTCTCCTTAGGCAGATAGCCCTAGTGTGCTTTGGCGTAATTAAATAAAGCAGAGCAAAGCAAGCATTTAATTAACATCGTAGCCCTGTTGTTAATTGAATCCAGAATTTGGGTGTCGTTTATATAATTATTCTTACTTGTCCACAGAACCTGCTGACTTATCCAGCCATTAAGTAGCTGCAGATCATTTCTACATAACCATTGAACTTCCATTAATTCGGTCTCTAGAAGATTGTATGTTTATATTATAATTTGACTTTATAAATAAATAATAAATTTTATAATGAATTTATAAAAATGATTATTCTAAATCTTATGTTTCTATAAAAATATAATGTGCTTTAAAAATATGGATGATAGTATCAGCCGTTGCTTCAGCCACTTCATAAGCAACAGCTTGTTTAGAAATAAATTATGCAGTTAATGTCATAAAATATTTTCGTAAAATTCAAATACACATCAAACGGAAGTTCTCAGGTTTAGACAATTCGATTTAAACGAAGTTAAAGTAAAGTAGCAGGGAAAGGAAGAAAGAGGAAAAAGGAAGAAAAAAAGGAAGAAAGAGAGAAATTAAAAAAAAATAGTTAAAAATTTGAATAATATCATCTTTAATTAAAAAAATAGCTTTTCATATAGTATTAATAAATATTTATTAAGTATCATTGAGAAAAAAAATTATATAATTAATTCTTCGTAAAATTTTACTTGAAATTTAAGGTTAAAAATAGCTGTGGCAATTCACTGTAACAAATATCCATAAACCACATTCGGCGTTATTATCGCTCAAAAAAAAAGATGTCAAATTTCAAAACGCGAAAATATGTAAATTCGTGTATATCTTAGACAATTTTTAATAAAAAAGTCTAATTTTTTGCAGGTATGCTTAGAAACACACCTACTTTAAGATGATGGTAAAAATTTTATACGTTATAATACAAAATTTTTTTCGAAAAATTTATAAAAATTATTTAAAAATAGAAAATTTAAAAAATAAAACACAAAAAATGGGTAAATTTTATTTGGAATGAACCTAAATTCCAAAATGTGAAAGGAAAAATAATAAAAGTTTAATGAAAAAAGATATATCAATAAATATTTGCCAAATTCAATTAACATTGAGGAGCTAAAATTTTGAGAGCTAATATTTTAAAAACTACTCGTACGATTTTTACAAAACTTGGTATTCTGGCATAATTTGAGTCGTAGAATCGAAATATGGAAAAAAATTGGTATTCTATTTCAGAAAAAGTCCGATTTTGTGTCAAAATACCTATGTTAGAATAGTGCTATATATAAATCTAATATATATCCTAAGTCGCGCTTTCGAGACATGAAAAACGCAGTTTAAATTTTGTCAATAGGCCCAGTAGAACGGGAGATATAACACTGTCCCCCCCTTTTTTTTAGCAGTGTACATAAGTTTTTGTATTCTGCATTATATTTCGTATTTTACCATAATTTTGTATTTTGAATAATATATCATATTTTCTGTATCTTATGTGTTGTAACTGTATATAGCTTGTATAATTTTTTCTTATGTTATCCACCCTTGTATTACATTTAACATGCTTTTGAATTATTTGACTGATGTGTTTCTGTTATTTATGCAACGACACAAACATACAGCACAGTATCCTCACAGCACCTGAATCTTGCGCTTCTCGAAGACTTTGCGACTCATGGTCGCCCCCTGTTACCACCTCAGACCTTTATCAAACTATCATGAAGTCTTAATGTCATGTGCCCACTGGGCTTCATTTTCATGAGCCGGACAAATTGCGCATATGCGCGATATTTCGGCAATAACCGTGCAGACCAGACCATCGAAGAAATTAGTTGTGTGAGGAGATTTCGTCAGGAAGCTGGATATAACAACCTCAGAAAATCAACAGCCTTCCAGTAAAATAAGGGAGAAGCCGAAAGTATGAGAGACTGTTGCAACATACTTTGAGAAACATCAGCCTAATAAGGTAGTATTTATACGCGCTTAACGATAATGCTGTGTATCCTTTTCGCCAAATTTTGAAACGTAGGAAAAGTCATATGTCTTTAAACAACTTTCTTTTAATAGAGAATGTATTATAAAATATAAATTGCGTTATTCTAAATTTGTTTGAGCATTTGTGGTACTCTTCTGTTATCGGGACCGGATTCAGAAATATATGCATGCATGTATGTACGTATGTATATTACGCATATCACGTGTGCATGTATGTATATTACGCATATCACGTATGTATGTATGTGTATGCATACACACATATATGCACATACATACATGCACACGTGCATGCATACCTACATACATTTCTGAATCCGGTCCGGATAAAAAGAAGAGTACTGCATTTGTTTCAGAATGAAACGCATTATGCACTTCCTATGGAAAAAATTGTTTCGCTTAACGAGAGTTTCGCATTATGTGTAAAACCTGGGAACAAACGTGCTCGTCAAGCGAGGTTCCACTGTATAGCCCTCAAGCGTGGTTTGACCATCAATTGCAAAACAGTTCCCAGCAACATTTTTTTTTCTTTTCTTTCTTTAAAAATTTTTATCTTATCTAAAGAATACTGTTATTCTAGGTTTCTTACAAAGAATTTAGAAAATCAGTTTATTTTTCAAATGAATTTAAAAATAAAACTTAATTAAAGATAATATCTAATTGTTTGAAAGAAACGTGTCTGTGAAAGATCTTAAAACAGACGAAATAATACATTTGTATAAGGCTCTTGGGCAAGCTTACTGTTGTTTTATCCGATATTTACATAGTTTAATTTAGGAGAAGAACCCCGAAACGCTGACCTTCTTACTAATTTTGTCTTTCATTTGCTGTCATTGGATGGCGCCACCTACGATTTTGTGACTTTCACTCTTCGTCCTCTTAATCGCGGATGCTGAGAAGCAGGAAGGATTTTTTTTGCGCGGAACGTTCGTGATATTCACTTTGCAATTCTTAGCCCATCCCATCTGATCAAGAGCGTAAATGTTTGTGTTCGTTTGGGCGCGAGAGTTACATTAATTTGAAATATCGCAGATGCATGTGATTTGATAATTTAATACGGGATTGAACTAGGATTTAAATTTTGAAAATATCGTTGAGAGTATTAACCAAATGGATGAGGTTTAATTTCATCTAAACACATATAATTTAAATTCTTCTCTGCATCCTGTAATTCTGTATGTAATTATTACATTTATTTGTCAATTTTTTTACGTATTGTTCTCAAAAAATTGTTTGTTTAATCTTTATTTTTATATTTCAGTCCTGTCTTCTGGTAAATAGTTGTGAATGGGTTAGTAGTTGTTTAATTTGCTTATGATTTTGTGCGTTGCAGATTGAGATCTTTATATTAGTAAATGTAAGATATATATCTAATATGGATTTTAATAATTTTATCAAGAAAGAATGCTTGCTAAGTTAATTTTACTAACTATAAATGCTTATTAAGTTAATTTTACCAGCTACAATTGCTTACTAAGTTATTCACTTTTCGATCTGAGAAAACATGGCTTTGATTGTTAAGTTGATGTGTTTTCATTAATATCATATGAAAATGTTTGTAACAATCTGGACATATGTTTGAAAATTTCCTTGTAAAATCAGCCACTGTACTTAATCTTAGAAATAAACTCAATCACATGTGCAATGTACAAATTTCAAATATTGCCAGAGTATCATGTGGTGATTGCTTTAACAAGGAAATACCTTTTGGAAATATTTTGGCATATGTTTTTAATGAATCTATAATTCTGTTGTGAATTCGTAAAGCAATTTTATAATCAAACTTTTCTGAATATTTCTTCTAGAAAACTAAAAAAAAGTACTTTTATTTAATTAGAATAATTGGTATTTTGCAGGCAGATTTGAAGTTTAAAAATGATTGAAACCAATGATGTGCGTCAGTCTCTAGTACTACTATATAAAGGATTTCTGCTTCGAAAGAGGCATTACATAGTCACAACCATTTTTGAAATTGTTCTCCCTGTCTTCATTGCCAGTATTCCTGCCATAATACAATCAGAACTACACTCTGATTATGCAGATGATGTCCAAGGTCCACAACAGATGAATGTATCAACATTTCCTCCATTTGAACCATTTGAATTCAAAGGCTATGTTAGAAAAGATCTTAAGATGGAATTTGTGTATACGCCATCAAATGAAGTCTCTCAGAAACTTATGACTGCTGCAGTTTCTTTGTGGGATCAGAAAGCAAATACGTCTTTCAATATAAGTAAGAATGTTAATTAAATATTTAAGTATATATCTGTATATATCTCACGTTCTGAAAGATTATAGAGCTGCCATAATACTTCATCAGAACTATATATATTGAGATTATAGAAATCTGTCTATCTTACCATAAAGTAGTTATGATCATTAACCCTTTGCGACATGCATATTTAAAATATATTTTAATCTAAAAAAAAATGCCTTAGAATAAGTCAGATGGACTTATTTAAGTACTTTTCAGGCTTGAAAAAAATTCTGCGCTTTTATTTTTTACGGGAAAAGGTGGGATACCATTCGTCCCACCACGCAACTAGCACATGTCTTATACCATATTAGTGTATAGCAGGAAAAAAAAAATTATATGTGGAATGAATAAACAAAATAAAGCGTTGCATTCTAAAATATTCATAATAAACACATTAATAATGCATTTGACTTGCATTTTGCATATATATTTATATATATTTTTAAATTTTAGGAACAAAAGAAAATATTTTCTTGAATATTATTTTAAGATTAAAATTTGATACTCGTACATATGATACTAAATAAAATATTAAAATTGGCACTTGATTCAAAAACATTTATATATGACTAAAATTGAAAAAAAAGTCATTTTTCATGAAACTTTGAAAAACATGTTATTTCATTCTTTTGTAAGCATAGAGGCACTTCACATGTTTCACACATGCAAAATGTTCGTCGTTATTCTTTCGATATGCTGCAATATGCACATCTTCTCCTGCTCGTTCTCTTTGGCGTTTTACTTACATTTTTTAGTCTTTTCTGGTTGTACGAACGGGTTTTTTAGTTTTTATTTGAACTGGGGATTTCAGTTTTCTTTTCAGCTCTTTCTTGCCTGCAAGTGCCATTAGACCTTCTGTAACTGAGAGAAGAAAACCTTTCATTGTTTTTACATCATGATCAGGTTCGCGAACAAACTTGAATAAATGTGTTTACTATACTCGCATCTAAAAAGTAAAAAAAAAAAAAAAAAATCATGTGCCACCATTTCTTGCTTTTGCGGTCTATTTCATATAGTCCTTTCAGTTGATCAATCAGTCGACATATCCCATATTCTTATTGTATGAAATAATGCTGTTTGGGCACAGTACTTTTTTTTTTTTTTTTTTTTGTCTTTCCATCTCGTTCCTTTCTATTAATTTCTTTCATTTCAGTTGCCTTTTCCAGGCAAGACAGGATGGAAACGGATCTTTTATCCTTCCATTTTATGCAATAAATTGAATCATCGCTAACTGAAAAGTCATATATCTCCATATTTACTTACACATGCATACATACTACTTCCCTTTCTTCTTCAGCAATAACTTCAACCTCAGTTATTCTCTCCTGGATTTCAATTTCATCTGAATCAGAAACTGACATCTGAAGCATTTGAGTCGCAATCAGATGGCAATTCAGCAAAAAGATCCAAAGCTTCCTGAGTTGTTAATTTTTTCCTAGACATTTTAGCACATCAGAGCATACAACGGATGTAAAAGCGCGCGCAATCACGAAAAAAGTAGATGCAAAAAAGAAAAGAAAAAATAATCGTGAGTGCTGCCATCTATTGAGCGGAAATTCAAGTGTGTGGTGGGACAAATTTTAACCCACTTATTTCAACTGCAAAATTAATGTTATAAAATATTGAATACAATTAAGATTTTTGAAAATAAAGTACTTTTGAATATTAAAAAGTATCATACATATCATAAACTGTATACCAAAATTTTTAAAATATTGAAAAATGCGAGATACAGGGATATCACTCTTGTGATCCTATTTTGAATATTTTTTGCTTATAAACTTAAGCCCTGGTATAGTAGTAACATCTACTGAGAAAAATAATAACTAAAATAGATTATTTTTAAAAGATTAGAAAATTTCTAATGGAAATTGCAAACTGAGAAAATAAATATTAATTAGGCAGGACAGATATTGACCCACCATGCCGCAAAGGGTTAACTGAATTTAAGTAATTTGCAATTATATAATTATGCTATTAGCTTATATTTAAATGTGCTTTATGGATTATCACCAAATTGTTGTTTTATTTATGGTAACCTGAGCAGTTGAATGTTATGGAAACCTTATTATGATGTAATTGGTTGTGTGATTACATTTAATCTGACTGATGGGAAAAGATTTATAAGGGTTTGTTTGTGTACTGGATGTTGGTCAAGAAGTACATTGCTTATTTTGTGGTTTACATGGTATTAGGTTGTTCTTAAAATAATGCAGATTTTTAATCTATATCTTTAAAGTAGCATAACTCAACTCAAAAACAGTTTTATTAATCAAAATAAGCACCAGCAGAATCAGTGTATTTTTGCCAACGAGATATAAGTTTGTTTATGCCGGCAGAATAAAATTCTGGAGATCTGCATGCGATAAAGTTCTTAAAGACGTTTTTGGCTTCGTCTTGGTTTCTGAAGCATATCTTCTGCAAAATGTTATCCAAATGTTTGAAATGTGGTAATCAGTGGGTGAGAGGTCAGGCAAATATGGGAAAAGAGGGAGAGTTTTGTATCCCAATTCGTTAAATTTCTGTAGGGTCAGTTGCACGACGTGCATCGTGGAGAACTGGCTCCTTTCTCTTGACCAATGCGGGGCACATGCATTGCAATTTTTGGTGCATTTCATTGGTTTGCTGATAGTACTTATCTGCCGAAATCATTTCATCTAGATTTAGGAAGCTGTGGTGGATGAGACCGGCTGCAGGCTACCAAACAGTCACCATAATTTTCTTTTGATGCAAAGTGTTATGGTGTCTGACCGCAGTTAAACCACTGAGTCGAATGTCGCCAGTTGTTATAGAGAATTCACTTTTCATCAAACATAAGAATTTGATCAAGAAAAGGGTCATTTTTGTTGCAGAGAAGAGAAGATGATACTTCAAAATGGCGATTTTTAAAATTTTCGCTCAATTCGTGTGGCACCCACTTATCAAGCTTCTTTGATTTTCCTATACAATTCAAATGATCAGAAATCATAGTTTTGCTTACACCAAGCTCCTCCGCACACTCTTGAACAGCTGTGCATGGGTTTGTTTCATCTAAAGTCTTCAAATCGTCGTCATCCACAGCTGAAGAGTGTCCACGACCCTCTTGATCTTCCAGGTCAAATTCTCTACGGCAAAACTTTTGCTACCACCGTTGAACTGTAGATTCATTAACACTTTTCTTGCCCCATACTTTGTTGACATTTTCAGCCGTTTGTGCTGCGCTGTGGGCTAGCTTATACTCATAAAAGTAAATTTGCCGAAAATCCTGTTTTGACATCTAAAGAAAAACACCTAGTAAATATTTTTCTAAATACTTTTGGAGCAAAATGATTATTTTAGAAAGACAATAGAGCTTCAAAATGATATATAAACCAATGTAATTCAAAATATTTTTTATGCTAAAAATGTACAGGAAAGATAAACAATTGCAAAAACCTGCATTATGGTAAGCTGATGGTTGCAAATGGCTGAATGTGGTAAGATTAATTTGAAGTTTCTGTACGATTTGGAACAAAAGGAAAAAGAAAAGCCTTAATTGACTGGTGTGTAAATGAAGGTTCACTTAGTAGCTATTGTGGTTGATCTTTGGATTATGGTAACTTGGCGATTTTTTGGTGAAATTTGGCGACCAACTCTGCTACAGCAACCCTCCCCATTTTGTCTTCACAAAGTAAAGACATGTTTCTTTTCTTTTTATTTACTCAACACTTTTTCCAACAATCTACTAGCCGAATTACACTGATGCTAGAAATGTTATGTAACAAAACTGCTTAATCATGACAAATATTAACTGCAAAATTGGGAAAAAGTGCAGAATCGCAAACTCCTTGCGCGTTTTTCAGAATAGCACATACACATAAACCATTTACACGTCGACTTATTTTTACTTAAAAAAACATCCCATAATTGCACAAAAATGGTATTGCACACACTCTTAGCTTTATCCATCTACACTGCTATTTTCTCATAAATTACAAAAATTTGCACGAAAATGCAGGAAAATTTTCTTAATCTTTAAACTCAATAAAAAGCACATATATGAAATTACCTGATCGCGAAAAAGTACATACCCTTTCCAAGGATGAACATTTCCACATATAAAATAAATAAAATATCCAAAAGCTTTTACCTCTAAATTATCTGTTATATTATAAACGTCACTAGCGAATTTATATGCAAACATTAAAAATAGTTACAAATACTTAGTGTCAAATATTTAAATTATTTCCATACACGTTTACTTCAACTGAAACGTATCCCAAATTCCTACAAACATAAAATTCACAAAATAACTATCATTTAATTAAAATATCACTAAACCATGTACACGTCGACTTATTTTTACTTAAAAAAACATCCCAGAATTGCACAAAAATGGCATTGCGCACACTCTTCACTATATCCATCTACACTGCTTTTTTCTCATAAATTAGAAAAATTTCACAAAAATGCATGAAAATACGCAACGTATACTACTGAAACGTATTCCAAAATACTACAAATATATAACTCACAAAATCACGATCATTAAATTAAAATATAATTAAATTAAAAAACACTACTTAAAATGTAAATAAGCACATAATTAAATTAATAAAAATTAGATTACAATCCTAATTACTTTAAACTAAATCATTGCTAATACCACATTAATTTATTTACTCCTTACATTTAGAACAATGCATAAAAATAATATCCTCAAATGATTCAAAATACTAACTTACCTAATCTTCTTTAGAATCTTCATTACGTGGCTGCAGTACTACTGCTAATTTCTAAATCCTAAATCCAGTAGTCAACTGGAAGTCTATTCACCAAGTAATAAGAAATTAATAAAATTTCACCTATACTCAAACTACTTTCAGCAAACAACGTACCCTTCCTTACACTCCTTTTCACAAAATGTCCATTTTCACCATATTTCTTGCACCGCCATTTAAACTTAACTGTAATATCCTTCCTTTCACACAATCTCAACTTATAATCAGATAAATGCATTAAAAATTTAGAATTCTCTTTACATAGCGCCATGCAATCCGAAAATTAATCAACACTATTTCACACAACACACAATGAAGCTTTTCCAAATTAACCCCCTTTTCCGATTAAAGAACTGTAATTCGTCCATTAATGTCATGTTTCACACAACACAGAATATAGCTAAATACGAAATTTCCAGATTTCCCCCCTTTTCCGATTAAACAACTGTAATTCGTCCATTAATGTCACATGACATATCTCATGATCTCTCATTTCCTTCACACAAAATAATGCGTAATCGGAACTGAGTGCTTCTCACATTATTACCAAAGTCCTAGGTAGTAACCTTTATCACCTCAAAAATGTTGCCAAACTACCAGTTACCATATTCCAAAGATCAGCGACCATTGTAAGTGTCCTGTTTGTACAAAGGGAATGTGTATAGTCGAACATAAAGATAATTAATTCAGTTTACCGCAAGAAAGATTCAAATGGTTACCATATAACGCGTTCCATTACAAAGTTAACATGGTTTGAGGAAAGTTTTTGGTTGCTGTTAAGGAATTTTGTGTGCCAAAGACTGAAGACACTGAAATTTTTAAATAAGGTAAGTGTATATTTCCTTTGTGTAGTGTGTAGATGCGATAGTAGTGCATAATGTTTTTTATGTTACCTCATTTTTTGATTTAAAATGGAATTTATTAAGATTATATATTTTTTGTTTGGTTCTAGTGTGCAATTGGGTGCACCTTCATTTTTTAAGTGAAAATAGATCAATGTGTATATGGACAAAGTCTAGTCAGTCTGCAATGTCGAGTTTGTGCAATTCTCTTATGTTTTTCTAAGTGAAAATAGGTTGATGTGTACATGGATACCGAGCTTGCGCAATTCTTTGACTTTTTATTTTGACTTTGTGTAGTGGCGATTTTTGGTTGCTACACAAAGCCAAAATATCAAGTCAAAGAATTGCACAAACTCGGTGACCATGTACCACCAATTTTCGCCAAGGGACACCCGTAAATATATTTTTACCAATTATGCTTATTTTAAGACATAGAAGTAAGAAACCAATAAATATGGATAGAAAATTATTAGCAGTGTGAACTGTTTTTGTGCCTTTGTTTCCCATTATTAATACCTCTTAGAAATGCTTTTTTAGAAACTATGAAAATTAATCCAAATGCTGTCAACCGAAAGAAAAAATTTGCTGTGTATATTGAAAGTTAGTGGTTTATCAAAGTTGTACAGTTTTACTTTTTTATATGTAATGAACACTGCTTCTGGTTTGAAAGCATATAGAATTTTAAAATGTACAAATGTTACAGTAATATAATCAATATGTTTTGATTAGTGAAATATGTAAATTTCAGAAAATTAAATATGCAGGGAGCAGGAATGTAAAAGGCAGGTGGAGGGGACTGAAATAATCAGATTTTGTAATGGAATGTACATACAGAAATAACACATTTACTTGGTCCAGGACATGGCTGATTAGTAAATGAAAGCTTTATGCTGGCATGCATCTCATTTTCATTCCTTGTAGCAGGGTTCACATGGTCCTTAAGTGTTTTTATGTTTTTTGAAGTCGATTTTTGGTTCTTAAAAGTGCTTAATTTTGGCCAAAATTGGCAGAAGTTTCTTAATTTTAATCATCTGAAATTTCTGTCTTCCCATACCTCTGTCTACCCCTCTTCCCTTATCATTAACTACTCAAGAGATCTTTTGGCTGGCCATGTATTTTGAGTGCCATCTTACTGCACAGATACTATATGCTTACAAACATCGATGCCTTCTCCAGGATTTAGACCCAGACCTTATTATGGCAGTCAGCATCACTAACCACTACACAATCTGAGTGGCCAGTGCAGTAGTACAAGAAGGAACATTTTTTTAGTATGAGTATATTTGACATTTTAAATTTTTTGACAAAAAAGCAGGACAAAATTACAAACTTGCTGGAACCATACCTTCAAACTGGGATGCCAGGCAAGCCCATTTAAAGTGATAAATGTATAATTTAAAACAGAGTTTAAAAAAGAATATGCTGATGTGCTAAGTTGGTTGCAGACGTGCTGAGGAAGTTTTCGATTGTCAACCTTGGGTTGACAAGCAAACTAATAAGCAAACTAACATGCATGCTCCACAGAAAAAGTAACACACTTTTCCATCAACGAGTATGTGTGAAACTTTGCAACTTTGCAACGAGTATGTGTGAACTTTGCAACGAGTATGTGTGAAACAGGTCAAAGACAAGTACCGACCATAGCCATATTTCAACCGCTGGCCAGTATCTCATCCCTGCCCACAGACTTACCACTGCAAATGAATGGTGAGCTGCGTGCCATTCCTAAAAGCCAGAATATGAGAGAAAATGAATGCACCTCCACTGAAGAACTCGGTGAAACGCACGAACGAATCCATGACATCTGCTGTAGAGTCGCAGCAGTAAAATTTAATCCAAAATTTTATTGAAAACTGAAATAATTTTTTATCATGGTGGTCGGGACATGTGTAACCATCGGCAGTTACAATGATGCCCGCAGGTATTTGTTGGGAGACCCCTGTTCTAAATCCATGAAAAGTAGGATAGGAGAAAAATAAGTGTTGCACATTATTGGCATATATTTTTTTAACAATCGCACAAGTTATTTATCTTACATTGAAAGGAAACAGGTGATTTGCAAATATACTATGACAGATAAAAACATGTATTGTAAAATTTGTAAGAAGTTTAATATACTGGGTGTTCGGGATAAATTTGACAGTTTCGTAAGGAAAAAGAAAATCCGCTTGTATGAGTAGTAGCAAAGGTCTTCATTGAGTGCAAGCTTCATAGTAGAGGCTGCAACATTCATTTCACGTGACAAAGCCCGAATTCCAATGCCAGGGTTCTTCAACGCCTGTTCCTGCAGATTTGCGAGGAATTCTGCTGTACGAACGCAATCAGATTATCTGCTAGGGATCTTTCTTTTTGCTATTAACCTCGTAGTCACCATTGCAAGTCTCTAGTTCATGCCTGATTGTTTTACTGTGTTCAGGGAACATTGGGCAGCAGTCATAGTATCCTTATTTTGATGGCCGGCACGAATCATCATGATGCAAGTTATTATCTTCCATGATTCAGGTGGGTTCCAGTCATCCATCCTTTCTGACATCTTGTATATGAATGAAGAAGGGTCCAAACTTTTAAATGATGAGGAGTGTGTGTCAATACCTCCAACCTACGGAAAAATATAATCAATTATAAATATGTCAAATTTATCCCGAACACCCTGTAGAATAGGTATTGTAAACTATTTTCTCTTTTCGGAATTTTAAATTTGCGAGAAAATAATAATTACATCTCCTTAGCATTAAATTAATTTGATTTTTGTGTTAACCTTCCAGTAGGCCAAAGGTTTGCTTCAAAAAGACTCAAAATTCGGCAAAAAAGTAAAGTTTTCTTCGAAGTAAATTTGTCTTAAACAATTTGAATTTTTGATAAGTTATATATTTTTATTGTTTGACATACTTATTTTTAAGCATAAACACAACATATGTTTTATATTGGGATAAAGTTTTCTGCATTACTAAATTTCATAACATATTTTATAAATTCTCATGATTTTTAATATCTTTCACCATATTTTTAAGCCACTTATTTAATCCAGACAGCTATAATCTTCAATTAGTCTGGATTAATAAGCTTTTACTGTATGTACTGTTCTATGCTTGTTTATTTACTAATGTATTAGGCATTGATAACATGATAAATTATTAAAGTATTTATTTAAAAATAATTTTTTAGCTTTAAAAGGGGTGGACAGGGAAGATGAAATGGAAACATATTGCCTTTACAAGCTGAGATCCTCTAGTCGTCAAATTATGATAGGCACAGTCTTTCAAAATTTCATTTCAAAGAAGGGGCAGCTACCATCATCATTAGAGTACAAGATACGCTATGGAGATTCTGATCGTTTTGATGACCTGACCTTCTATACTGAGAAGAAATATCGTGTAAATGGGCCACAGAAATACAATGGTAAGATAATTGTGCCTTATATTCATGTAATACATTTTATATATTGTGTATTTTTAGCATAAATATTATGTGTGATAATATACTTGTAACCTGTGGTTTGAGCCCTAGTGAATGTTAACCTGAAGGTAACTAGTGATCATCAGCTTTGATGAACACTGGTAAAAGAATTCTATTTTAATTAAAAAATCTATCTAAATTTATTGCATTGTTGCTAATGAATAAGCCATTGGTCTCACTAAGGGGGGTAAGAACCTTTAATGTAATATGGGCAACTAAAAACCTGTGGGATCTACAACAATTACCACATTATTATAACTGTTTTTTATACATATGTAGCACAATTATTTAATGTCTCTAAATGTAGTGCACTGCCCCACACTGCTCGTATATGGGCTACTTCCAACTAGTGTTGACAAGTTTCTTCTATGGGAAAAAAGCTGGTTGGAAGAAATAAATTTCTTCCACTAAAAATGAAAGAAACTAACTTTTTTTTATCTGATTTAATAATTATATTAGTATAACTGTATTTTATTCATATGTAGCACAATTATATTATTAATTTATACATTTTCATTTTCTATATAATTTTATTAGCCCATACATGAACCCACACTGCTCATATACAGGCTATTTCCAACTAGTGTCGACAAGTTTCTTCTACATAGAGCCAGATTTAGACTTGATAAGGCTCTAAGCTATTTGAGATATGGGGGCCCTTTGTTATAATTTATATAATATATTTTAATACTATGTACTTATACTATATTTTAATTTTTTGGGGGGCCTTCAAGAAAGTGGGAGCCTTAAGCTATAGCTTGTGTAGCTTGCATGTAAATCCGGCCCTACTTCCACAGTGGGAAAAGCTAGTTGGATAAAATAAATTTCTTCCACTAAAGTGAGAAACTAATTTCTTAATTGATTACACAATTATGTTATAATGACTGTATTTTATTCATATGTAGCTCAATTATGTTATTAACTTAAAATATTTTTATTTTCTATGTAGTTTAATTATTCTTATTTGTACACTTGCAATACTCTTTTTTGATAAGATATATATATATATGCATATTTGTGTACTTGATATCAGATCTGCTTTCACATCTGGGGATTTATATAGATTTTGAAACTAAATTTCAGTTTATTCCAGGAATAAAAATAGTGAAATACTTAATTACAGCAAAATTCTGTCTATCCATCATTCAATTAATCTTAAAGCTCAGGTAACCAAAATATTTCACAACTTTAGAAACATTTCCCCCAACACCCAAAAATTAAACAAATAAAAGACACGGAAAAGCCATTATGTACGTTATTGGACACTATTACCAAATAGTGTGATTTAGTGCCAACAAATGCAAAGTATGATTTTGTAATACAATCATAAAATCTTTGCTTAGGTTGTTTTATATAAACCCTTACATTTCTGAGGAATGTTAGTGCAAGTTTACTGAAATCTCCACCAACTTCATGGTTGACAGGGTTTCATTATCGAATAAGATATTTTGCTTTTTTATGTTTAAAGCTTATGAAATACATTGGCTTTTATATCTCAAATGCATTTTATAATCAAAAGTCTTATATAATTTTTAAATTTGGGCTTTTGATAATCAAATTTATAGTAATTAAATTGATTGTTTTTATAATTTTAGTCCAGAAATTTCTTCCATTTATTTGGCCTTTTTCTATCATAAGTTGCTCAGTTATCCAAATTTTCAAGTATCCAATATTTCCCTAACTTTTCAAATAATTGAGCTTTTTCTGTATTTAGAAAGAATAAGAAACACATTTGGATACTGTTCTGCTTTCGGGACCAGACTCAGATATTGCCAAAAGCTATTGTTTGGTGAAAAATCCAAAACATAAAAATAATCGCCAATATTTATGATATGGCCAAGTTAAAGAAAAATCCAAGGGGGGGGGAATTAACAGATATTTTTAAAATTAGAATTTTTAATGTAAACAACTTCCTGAAGAAATCAGAGGGACAAAAAAGTTCGGTTAGTGAACTAAGGTTAACATGGAGTCATGAAACTGCAGATATTATTTAAAATATCTGAAATTATTCGTGTTTTAGGATGCTTTTGTCCCACATAAACTAAATTAAATAAGAATGTAAGTGGTTATGGTCAAAGTAGCGTTTACGCTTATTTCATTTCGCACCAACCCATAACCTTTCAGTAGCTTGTATATGACAACTAGTATAGAAATCGATAAATTTATATTTATGGTTAGTGCAGAAATGTTCAAATCTGTCACTGTATATCCTTCCCAAAAGTCTCAGTATATTATACAGTACAAAGTCCGAAATCCGGATGTCCATTATCAGGAATGATCTAAATTTTGGACCTCAAAACCGTTTTTCTCGTAGGCTTTACGCATGTGCATTTGCTTCCTTCCCTCTGTGCATAATAAAACATCTGGAGAGTCCCGATTCTTAATTTCACTTCAACACTAAATAAAATACCTTGTTATTAAAGAAACAATCATTTTAGCATAAATTTGTACGATCAGTAATTTGGCTCCGTTGCTGTGTATCTGCTTTGGCACAAATCTCAAACCGAAACATTCCACATAGATGCATCGTTGATCTGATGCCAACCTGGCAATTTGTTATTTATTATATTTTACTTTCATCACCGCATGTTTATCAACATATGACAACTTGAGTAATGACTCATGTAGCGATGCCTAAATAATTTTTGCTTCCTTGTATGAAGTAAAAAGGAAGTATTGTAATCGCGAAAAGTTCCAGGTAACATATTTCAAGCAAAATATCCATTTTGAATGCTATCGAATGCAATTTAACAATGTTTTTTGCATGACATCTGCATGTAAGGACAGAATAAAAGACTCTTTTACTCCAAAAAAATTATAAAACTGTTTTAAAATGAATTCTGAAGAGAATTTTTCATGGTGTCTATACGTACGTATGTATCTCGCATAACTCAAAAATGAGTAGCCTCAGAACAATGAAATTTTGTATATAGGATTGCTATAACATGTAGATGTGCACCTCTTATTTTGGTTGCAATCGGCTGCACCAAACCTATATAAATATATTTATTTATATATCCACTCTGTTACCCGGCTCAGTGATCTCAGTTTTTTTACTCTTATATGTTTGTAAATTGTAAATTTTTTGCTTTAAAAATGATTGAATTATGTTGTTTTTATCTTCCGGTTAAGGTTTTTATGCCTTTAGTAAATCTGTATACAATATTTTTAGAATTATCAACAATTTTAAAGTTGTTTAAGTGCCCTCTAAGCCATGTTTTTGATGGCGGCCATTGATTGTTTACATTTGAAACAGCAGACTAGTGGATTTGTTGCCAATCTAGAGAAACTTAGCTTCGCAACAACAAAGAGAACGCCTTCATTTATTATTGCCAATTAAATCATGCTTAATCCTTTCTGGAATTTTTTCGAGGAAATAAGTGTTTAAGATTTACTTCGTAATTTTTAATATAGATATGAGTTTTTATGTATTTTTGCCTTCTCGCGATGTGAGAACTTAATTAATTAAATGAGAAATACTCAATCGTCTGTGAAAAACTGTTTCTTTTTTGTTTTGTGTTCTTAATTTCTTTTATACATCGTTCTAGATTTATTATAGTATTTGAATCGAACATGTGGCAACGATTAGATAATTCTTCAAATAATATAAATTTTGTGCATTCTGAGTTATAATATGAACGAAATATAACACTGTTAAGTGAACCTAGTGCCAGAGTGTTGCTATGGTAAACAAATACAGTCAAAAGTCGTTAATCCAGACACCCATAATCCGGAATGACCTATAATCCGGACCTCAGAGCTACAAACTTTCTGCGCATGTGTCAACGCATAATGTGTTCACGCACGCGCATAATATTTTTACGCATGCACATATGCGTATGCGCATGTGCATAATACGTTTACGCATGCCCGTTTAACGTATAACAGATAGTATAAGCTAAGCTAAAATTATGTAATTATCTATTTCAGTTAATGTTGCAGATTGCGTTGTTCCTTAATCTTCGAATTAGATCCGGCTTATTATGCAGACTGTTTACTGTCTGTTACTTTTTTTATTTTGCAGACTGAGCAATTTTATAAAAGTAAGCTTGAATTTTCGATTATGTCAAATAGAATTTTCGATGCTGGAGCTGCCGAAGAATCTACAAAGCGAATGTATGTTTCGATGTCCATCAAACAAAAAGTGGAATTGCTGCAAAAAATGGATAAAGGCATATCCTTTGTTTCTCTAACCATTCAGGGTTAAAAATGGCATTCAAAACAATTGTTACTTGATCCTAATGAAGAAAAAGTCACAAAAAGCAAAATCCAGTTTTTTAAGTTTGATGATTCATTTCTTTAGTGTAGATGATTCTTTTCTTTAGTAATGGAGAAAACTCCACTGTGCATTCTGGAGTTCCTTCTGTTTAGTAAATTACATATTTCCAAAATGACTTTTTATAATTTGGGTTTGGTAGTTAGTAACTCTTATTTATTATTCATAACAAAAATGTGTATTAATTAGTTGTTAAAAAGGACTGATGCTTATGGAAAGTATAATCCAAAGAATATTAGTATTTCTGAAGCAGACAACTAGAAAATTAACTAAATAATTTAAAATAACTTTTGCTCATTATATTTCGCAACTTTTTTTTAGTAATTGTTCTAGAGCTTTTTTAGAGAGATAAATATAGTACAGTCAAAAGTCGTTAATTCGGACACCCATAATTCGGAATGATCTATAATCCGGACCTCAAAACTAAAAACGTTCTGTGCATGCGCCACGTTGACACATGCGCATAGGCGTTTACGTGTGCACGTAAGACCTTTTACGACTGCGCATATGAGTGTGTGCAAGTGCAGAATACGTTTTCGCGTGCGCGTTTTATGTATAATGGACGTATAAGCTAAATAATTATCTATTTCAGTTAATGTTGATGATTGCGTTGTTCCTTAATTTTCGAATTAGATCCGGCTTATTATTTTTTGCAGACTGTTTACTG